TTTTTATTTATTTTATTTAGTCTATTGAATCTCGACGATTCACACTTCTTGAGTGTCTAGTCCTTAGCGTTAGAAAAGAATATGAAAAGAACGTTTGAAACGAGAACGTATAATAAAAAAGTATTTCATGCACAAACACGTATGTCAAAGTATTTTCGAAGAGTGCTCGGCGGAGGTCGACGGCGACGAAAGCTAGGTCAACTTTGCACATAACGCGGAGGAAATCCTTTTTTACAAGTGTTAACTTTGCAACGGAGAAGCTTCGTTTTACTTTCAGATTGTAAGGAATTGCGAGGGGAGAATGGCGGAGGAGTCGCACGCCCACGTGTGAGTTGAGTGTGTGTGTCTGCGTGCGTATGTGTGTGCGTGAGAGAGAGCGTGTGAGTGTGTGTGTGTGAGTGCGTGTGTGTAGAGCGTGCGTGTGTGGTGGTGGTGGTGGGGGGAAGGGAGAGGCTGGCAATAAACCTGCTTGGCCCGTCTGGCACTCCCCTCAGATTGGCTCCGAAGGCACCGAAGCTCCGACCGGCTAAAGCATGCATCGGCCGGCGATGTTTGCGAAGAGAAGTGGGCGGAGGAAGGGGAGGGGGGACGGGGGGAATAAAAATTGGGGACGAAAATAAGGGGAGAGAAAAGTGGGCAAAGGACCGGGAGGACACGTATTGCTTGGCGGGGGAGGGAGGGGTTTGGGTATAGGAGACTCGGGAAAGAGGATATCGACGCAGAAAGGGTTTGGGCGCCGCAGGGCGGAGGAATTGGGACTGCTGAAGGTGGCGGGGTGCGCGGTGGGTGCGGCGGGGTGCGGCGGGGTGCGGCGGGGTGCGGCGAGTGCGGCAGCGGAGCTGGTGGGAACACCCTTTGCCTCCCTTGCAGAGGCAGCAACAGCAGCAGCGGCGGCGCAGGATTGGGGATAAGGACAGATTTGCATCGAGTGGGGGCAAGACGGCACGGGGGTAGTTCTCGCTTCGCGCGCGGGAGCGGGGTGTGCCGGAGGCATAGACGAGGAGAGAGAGACGGAGACGGAGACGGCCAGGATGGGAGAGCGACAGAGAGACATAGAAATGTATGGAGCCTCTCTACGGCATTGGCGCGCTCTCGTGCGGCCCCGGCCCGGGCCCGGCCCCACCACCAAGATGGGCCCGCGGGTCGTCAATATGTGCTCTTCTGCTCCGGCCCAGCCCCCTCTGCCTGCTCTGCCGCGCCCCTCCAAAGTGCTGTGTCGATATCGGATAATGATCACGTACAGTCGCCCCCCATTGTTCCCCAACTTCTCTCCACTCCACATTGCAGCGGGGCGCGGCGCGGGGAGGGAAGGGGTGGGCGGGGCGGGCCGCGCGCATCCTGACCGGCTTGAGCCGAGCCTGGAACTGGGGCCATTACCATATCACGGCTCGAGATCTTCTTCCAGGGGTCCGCCTAGAAGTCCCTCGGCCCTCTCGGGCCCGGCCGCCCGACCGTACTGACTGCCCCCTCATTGTACCCTGCCGGAGCCTGGAACTGGGCCCTGGAGCCTGCAGACTGAGGCTAACAGGTGCGGCACACGACCTGGACCCGGCCTACACCCAGCGCGCCGGCCGCACAGTCACGGTTATCACAAGGTACATAAAGGCAACGGTGACGGCCTGCGGGAAGCAGGCGGCAGTTTGAAACCCGCGGCGCTCGGACTGCACGCACGGCACACTGCACGAGCACGCGTGCACGACGCGGGTGCACGATAAATCACTCCCCCTCCCCCTCGGACCACCCTCGGGCCCCCTCCTCGCCGCCACCCTCCGCGACTCGCGCCCTTAGGGTGGACCAAGAGAGCGATCGAATGCTTGTTAAGTTACAAAATAATCATGATTAATGGATTCTCGAGGGTCCACAATAGCGAGCCGCCGCTGCCGCTGCCGCGCCGCTGCTGCCGCCGCCGCTGCTTCTCATCCCGGCGGCAAAAGGAAGTGGAGGAGTTGGGAGGGGGTAGTGGAGGGAAGCTGGGCTTGAGAACGGAGCGAGAACAAATTCCAACTCCTCCTCCAGGACCGGGAGCGGGGCAGAGCGGGGAGGAGCCGGGCTGAGCGGGAATGGCTCCGGGAGGCAGGACGCGATCTGTCAGTCTAAAGGGCAGGCAGGCGGCCCGCCCCGCCCCGGCCCCGAGCCGGGCCTGGTCTGGAAAGGGCCGGAATGTTGAGAAATACATCCATTCCTCTCATATATTTCTCTTGGAGGGTAAACGGAACTGTTGGGCTGGGAATAATACCTCCTCACATGGATGGAAATACCTCTGGCTGCGATATAGATGGGCTGCGGCCTCAGACAAATTCCTCGGCGGGGGCCCTCTGCCGGCCCTGCCCCGCCCCGCTCCGCCCCGTGGGGGTCGCACGCCCCACCGGCCCGACGGCGCCCTCAACGCGCCCCCGCGGCGCCGCCCGCACCGCCCGGCTTGCCGGCTCTGGCTGCCCTGACCGAGCCCCCCCGGCGAGGCCCCCTCGGGGGCCGCCTATAGTTGGCGCTCCACTTCCTACACCTTCGCAGCCGATTCGATTTCCTTGCAGGAGAATGCCTTGGCGTGCCGGTGCCGGGGGCGGGCCGTGGGCGGCGCCGTGCCCGCCGCCCGGAAGGATAGGGGGAGGCGACCTGTGCGGTGCGTGGGGCGGTAGGGGAGGGGAGGG